TGCGAAGGGTAGCTGGTACCTGTAACACTCTTGTAGTTGCAACCTTGCTTATCTTGCTTGAGGAAGCTATGTCCTCAGGCTCAGGCTCTGACCAGCGTCAACCTCCACACTTCGCACCTCACAAGAATCGCAGCCCGTTCTCACCCGTCTTCTCTCCGACGCTGCGCCCTGGATGCCTCAGGCACGATGGAGATAACCCCTGGCTTCACTGTCATTTTTACGTCGAAGTCGCCAAGGGTCCTCCCACGCATAAATGGCGAGCACAGGTTTTGGTGCTTCGTGCAAAGGCTCAAGGGCATCCCTGTCCTGGAAGGTTCCAAGCCCTCGACTCTTCCGTCTATGACCTGAGGATTACGATTCAATCTGTTAATGTTGCACTGTCCCAGTCTCTGCCTACCCTTTCCTAAACGTCGCCTGAACTTATGCTGGGGATCGTATGCGAGGTCTACTCGCGCCGCGTCTGAGTTGATGGCCGCTCCACCGACCGCCTCGATTCGCTTCTGCTCTATCGGGCAGCTGGCCTTTCATGTTGCCGCAGGCATCATTCAGTACAGCATCATACAGTAGAGCATCGCGGCGCTTTCCGCGGTTCAAGTTGCAAGGACGTTGTACTGGGATGAGCCTTGTGGTCGCGAGACAGCCACATGAGGACTTCAGCCTGCATCGGCACAATGCACGGCATCTGAAAAACTCTTCCGCACATTCGGCAAGGAAGCACTTGCAGCACGTGCACCAAACAACGGACCGGCAGGAAGTTGAGCCAAGTGTTGAACCATAGGGTGACCGCGGTACAGGACCGTAAGCAATGCACCCCGTCACAAATTCGACTTCCACGTGCCTTGGCTGCGCCACTTGCCGTGGCGCTTGCCTCGAACGGCCCAGAAAGCAGTGCAGGCAAGAATCCCACTCAGCACCTATGGGGAGTCGTAGAAGGGGTCTTTGTCAGCCACTTCAGGTCTCATAGAACTTGTAGGAGATAGTGGAATGCTTGCTTGACCCGTCACATCCCATGTTTTATGGCATTCCATGGCCTCCAGCAGCACCAGAGCTGCTCGGCAGTCGCCAAGGTTAGCGCACCAAATCCGGCCTTGGCTCCGGGCCCAGCCCAAAAGGTGTAAGTTAACGACGGATTACCTTCGGGCCGAAGGTCTGTGTCGACTTGTTTTCCAGTGAATCTCTGAGTATTCGGCCTGCAGCGATCGTGCAGCTGTTGACACACCTTGAGGAAGAATTGAAGCAAAAGCTCGACGCGGCTCGGATGGATGACGATTCCAGTGATGATCGGCACATGTCCTGCTCCTCATGAAGTATTGCTGACTGCGAAGATCTGAAGATCTCAGGGTAAGCTGCATACGTGCCAGCAGTTGCATGCTCACGTTTGAGTCGGTCTTCCATCTCAGCCATTGCTTCCAGGTAAGCCTTGCTCCACGGACCAGCTTGCAGTAGGGGTGGCTGCAGCAGTTTCGCCGTCACGATACTGATCACAACTGCACACCCCCCCAAAACTTGCATGTCCCAGCCTGGCTGATTGAAAGGCCATCCTCGCAAGGACAGACTTTCCAGCAGGTTCGGGGGGGGGGGGCTCCATCACAAACGCACAACAACGCACAGGTTCCCTTTGTGCGAGAATCCATACTTGTAGTTATCTCTTCTCCAGGCTCTGTGGACTATGCAAGGTTTTCTTGTCAGAAGCTTCATACCAATACCAGTACAATGTCCATTGCTACTGCGAATTCTAGTGGTCCGTGTTGACTGACATGCAGAAGCCGGACATGTGTCCACGACTGCAGTACCAGTGCAACATCGCAATGTTGCACTTGGCTTCAAGGGCAGGTTCCGCTTCTAGCGGACTTCGGGGGACGATCCAACTCCATTCTCGCGGTGCTTTTGATAAACGAGAACCCACTTGATGTTGATTGCCAGCTAAGTAATGGCCGGGTTATCAGGAAGTCAGAAATCAACGGGAAAGACGCGGAAAACAATTGATCTCAGGATTAAGCCTAGTCCCCCGTTGTCCTGTCCACGTTGGGCAGAGGCTTCAAAGAGTGGACAAATGCTGCAAGGTGGAACACGCAGAGAACACAAGGACGAAAGGTGGATCCGACCCTCCCCAGCCGGCACCTTTCCTGCGCAGCTTGTCTGGATCAACAACTATTGCGCAGGATGCTACTTATATAAGTTCCGGCGATCCTCGTTGTGAGCAGACCGCAGGATCAGAACATTGATTCTGTTGCATGCTTTCGGTATCAGCTTCTCGCTCAATCTGGCATAATAGGAATCTGGTTACCATCTGCCTCTACTATCACCATGGGCTTGTCGTGTTGTACGCAATAAGCATCATGCAAGGAGGACTTCATAATGATACATTCCTGCGAATGGAAATCAATGGCACTGTCTGAGGACGAAGGTGCAAGACGGGGTGCAAATCTCCTACTTGCTCTCTATCTGAAACCCCATCATTGCAGAAACCGTGTGTGATAATACATGGCAAAGGCCAACCATTACACACACACGACGCTCACAACTGCCCAGCAACGGCTTTCCGGCCTTCATCCGCCTGCCGACAGCGACTGGAAGCAATTTCGCAACCTGCAGATCACATGGGGCAGTTGCCCCGACTTCTGGTCTGTCCATTCCTGCTTCCGTTTGCACACGGCTTTGCAAGCCTCTGGAACTAGGCTTGCGGCCAAGTCGGATGCGGAGTCCGTGTCGTGACCGTCTAGGACGCCAACCTCGGGCGCACGTCTGCGCAGTGCCGGAAACAGGGCGGGTGGCAGGGATCACGAACATTTCGTGGATGCAGCTCCGTTCTTTCAAGCCTCCGGCTGTGTGAAACGGAATGCGAGAATCGCTCAGGCAGTCGTGAACTGCCATGCATCGATCCTGCTGACAGCAGCGAATCTTGAAGGGCCCGTGGGGTCTGCCATCCTAAACCTAAACCCTAAACTCAACTTGAGCGAGCAATTCGGGCGTGTCAGCCCCTACTGTCCTCCTTCCTCCGATCCTGCCCCTTCCCGACCACTTTCCCCCCCCAAAAAAAATCACCCGCCATTGACCTTTTTGCATTCATCCAAAACTGTCAGGACTGAAAACTGCCATGTCGCATGGTGTTGCGGTGAGGCCGAGGCAGCCCGTGCTACATAGCTTTATCCATACCATCTACGGATCTACAGCCAGAAATGACAGAAATACACGGACCTCCCTGCCGTCAAATCGGAATGAATTTCTTTACTCCCTCAGCCTCTTTTTCAGAAGCTCCTGATATCTTGAAGTGCAGCGCTAAATACAGCCCGTCCGACCAGCTGCTTTCTGCCGATGTTTACATGGGGAAAGGCAAGTACCGGGTCCTTCACGCTTACCCTCTAGCCACAGCGTAACCGTGATATCAAGCATAAACACACAGCACAGCTTGCAGCTTGCATGGTCCTCGTTTTCGTGCCTGCCGCCCCAGTTCTTTGCTGTATGCGTTGCCACCTGTGTTCAATCACGAGATTCATGATGTGCCGCACCAAGCCAGCATTGAGCGCGGCCTCTACTCTGCATCTTGGAGGCCTATCTTTGTGCACCTGACTTCAACAACGCAGCTGTCAATCTCCGAGAAGTTTCCGGCTTCAGAGTGCCTCTAAGAGCTCATGGAGCCCAGACGGACTGGATGCTGGTGAGACCAGAGGAGCTTCTGCCTTGAAAGTTGTGCTGCAAAATGATCAGCTTGCTACGGAGCCTTATCGGAACCTCTTGCACCTCTAGCTGAGGCTTCAGCTTCTGGCACAGCAGCCGCCTTGACTGCAGCCTGTCGGCGCCCAATGAACCTGCCAAATCCCGTGCAGGGGAGCACAATCCATGCAAGGATTCACGCGAGATGGCGGCAGCGGTGACGTTTTGGTGTAGGCTGGATGCGGCATCATCATGCAGTTCATTGCAGTCAGCACCACGTGTCCACATTGCATGAGATGCAGGCAGGCATCATGCTGTGCTCTCTGTGCCCTGCAAGCACCTGGAAACCATTCGACTCGCCAGACCCTGCTGCGTCGTCACCTGGGGGGGCCACAGCCGGGCAAAGATTACCTCAATGAAAGGTGATCTGCTTGATTACTCCCTGTCAAATTAGCTCCACGGCCTGCGCGCCATGCACAGCCCCGGAAGAGTCCGGGGCTGGCAGCCGGGCCAGAACAATGCACCTTTCAGTGCGACATGACCATTCGTCCGTGCAGAACCACTTTGAAGCTTCCAACACACGAGTTGGCAAAGAATCACGAAGCCCTGCATTTGTTAAGCGTCTGCCTTGTAGATGCGGATACACGCTCCGTCTGTGCAAGGGCCACACTTCGTAAGCAGAAGACTCTAAACAAAATGGTTTTCCCATGCTGTCCTAGACACCTCAGCTAACATCGGCCACACAGGAGAAGCTCTAAGAGGCGACGTCTTGTCTAACCCAGGACAATAATAATCCACGTGCACTTGTTTTTCCGGCAACGGTTCGCACTGACCAACAATCTCATTAAGACTTATGCATATCTTTTGCAGCTATGTTGCTATGTGCGGTTCGAAGCAAGACGTAATCACGTCATAAACAAGCGGATAACATTGTGCTTCATTGTGCCCTGTCAATCAAACAGTACTACTCACGAGACAGCAGCAAGGCCCGGCACGCGTGGAGAAGGCAACGTCCCACAATGCAGGATAATGCAGGCAATCCAGAAATATCTGATTCTGCGAGCCAATATGCAAGCGAGCTTGAAAGCCATGTTATGCAAGCAGACACGCCTTTGCTCCTTCTCTCTGAATGCATGCTGTGGAAAATGACTTGTAGCTTGCACCCCATGATCCTTGCATACCCCAAAAGCAACTTTTTCCACGTTGACCTCAGCTGACTCAGCGCAGGGAAGGCCTTGTGCATGTGCACCTGACTTCTAGTTTTAGTTTCTAGTTCAATGCAGAGTGGCTGGCAATGATAGACAGCCCGGTGACAGCCCCAATACGACGAGAAGCAGGCGTGCCTACTACCAGGTCCCACCGGTCCCGGCAGTAGATGAAACCTCACAAACAGCTCCACGTTCGAGGACTCAGAAGCTCTGTATGGCCAATCGCCCTGGCCAGCTTCCATGCTGGGGTGCGCTGAGCCCACGGCTGTACTTCCATAGTCCTGCAGATAATTCGGAGGGGCTTTTGGTCACTGCTGCACCGCAAGGCATCCGCCAGCTTGCTGAATCAGCTGGACAAACAGTGAAAGACAAAGGCAACTTGATAGCATGATGCGCGATTGATTTGTAAACCACAGAAGAACAACTCTCATCAAATATCGTTTTTGCACAGTCGTTGCATTTCAATCAGGAAACGAGAGCCACCTGAAGCGTGACGGGACGGTCAAACAAGAAAATCTTGCGGTAGACAGCGGGAGGGAGAGAGAGGGAGACAGACAGACAGACAGAGACAGACAGAGACAAACAGACTGACACACAGACGGACGGATGGACGGACGGACGGGCACACGGACAGACGATGGACAGACAGACGGACAGACCCATAAACAGACGGACGGACAGACAGGCCGGCAAACAGACAGCGGACGGACGGACAAACAGAGACAAAGACACAGACCTACCGAAACAAACACAAACACACACGCACACACACACACACCAATAATGTATGATATGTATGTTATGCAGGTATGTATGTATGTATGTATGTATGCATGTATGATTATGTATGATTATGTATGATTATGTATGTATGTATGTATGTATGTAGGTATGTATGTATGTAGACTCATCACCTCGCCCACTCATATCCACACATGCATGCACCCTGTGCGCACTGGTGGTCGCTGACGTTGACGAGGAAGATGTTGTACTGTGTGATGTCGACGTGGCAAAAGGTCACGAACGAGACACGATGAAGTGCAGTGGATGAAGCTGTAGTCGGAGACCCGGAAGGCACTCGACAGTACAAGTCGAACATAACATGACGGAATATGAGCTTTTGTTGGTCATCAAACTTGATTTTGTGCTTGCGTTTGAGGTGGATATGCAAAAGATGTGGAGATGGAGGATGTGGAACTCGATGACGTGTGGTGCTCGAGGACTGCGGCTCGAGCACGATTTCCATCCAAACACATTCCAAAGCAGGCACGGCACTGTGTCGGGAGCGAAGTCCGCGGAGTTCGGGAGCACATGGAGCACCATGCCAACGCATATTGAAATGTATTGAACTTCCCTCTGAAATCGGTGTCGGCAGACGAGGCCCGATCGGGACTGTGGAAAGAACGCGGCACTAGAGCAGGAGCCGCGGGAGCACCGGGGAGCGCCGTGCTGTAGGCCCTGCCCTGGAGACTGCGAACGTGAGGTGCACACGGTTCGGGACTGCCACGAACATGAAGACCGCAGTGTGCCGCGAGTTGAAACTCACAACCGGTAAACATGCAGAAGCGAATGCAAACGTCGTTCTCAACCGCAAAAACACTTCGAAGGTACAACAACAAACAAGTTCTGCTGTCTGTACACCCTAGAGTACGGTCCAGGCGCAGTGACTGCTCGTTCAACCGTCCCCCAATCCTCCTGTAACCTGCTCAACTTAAAAGCGGTTGGCAGCGGCAAGATCTGCACACGGTAGCTTCCAGAGTCCTGCGGTGCCCACTGCGCGGCCTGCCTGGCTTCAGATGCTGCCAAGGCAGCACGGATTGCTGCAGCAGCCGCAGCGGTTCGCCCGGCAAGAGTCGGCCGGGAGGATATAGACGTTTGTTCTTCTGCCTGTGCCTCCTCGGATCATCTCGAAGATTAAAACAGGACAGAAAGCCGCATGCAAAGACAACAATCTACGACAATACAAGCAAGCACACATGCAACACTGGATACATGTACGTGTACTTGCACATACATACACCTACCTACCTACCTACCTACCTACCTACCTACCTACCTACCTACGAGTACCTGCCTGCCTGCCTGCCTGCCTGCCTGCCTGCCTACTTACGTCGTGCCAACATATGTATGCACGTACCAACATACAGCATATGTACATAATCATGCTATCATGCATACATAAATGTGAATACACATAGGCATACATAAATGAATACACACACACATACACTGCATCGGACGCTGACATACACATACACAGAGCGATGTGGTCGGGCAACACTCCTAATTTGCGTTTCCGCTGTTCGTTTTACAGCTCATTGGAGCCTGCCTCCTTAAGCATGCACAGTACAGACAAGCAGTGAACCGCGTTTTCTCTCTGATTTTTCGTTTACATTTTCATAGGTGAGGCGGCGGGAGCACTATTTCCAACAAAGGCCACTCCAAACACCCGCGGCACCATGGCAGATTGCAGCAGGAGCCTGACTCATCAAGTTGATGAGCGCAAGTGTTGGATTCTACAATGAATTCGGTGTGGCAGCCAAATCCGTTTCCAGCCAATCCACGAGTGTTGCCAAAGGGGGCAAATGCACGTACCGAACAAGTCACGGCCCACGGCTCCCTCGCGGATCCAAACCGACATAGGTGTGAGGAAGTAGCGTGCTAATCAATGCCACACGCAGCCTTGGCCCTACGACATCTGGAACCTCGCAACAACAGAGTCCCTTGATGTGGCCGTGTGCAGAATATCTGAAAGCTTCATTCATGCCGCACCAAAATCTGTGGAAGCATTACAATCTCGGCCCGCGGACATCGTCACGTTCAGCTGGCAGAAGCCAAGCACAGACTGGTGATCGTGATGGTATGCAGGCCAAATCTCCCTCTTCCTGGCGACGATGCTGGTTTGAAAAAGTACTCAGAAGTGCATGCGACAGACACCAACCTCCCTGGGAAATAAGAGCACAAAGAAGCCGCAGACAAGCTGGATGGTGATGCAGAAAAGATTCCTTAGCAGTCGGTTGAACAAGCGGCCAAACAACAGCTGAAACATCAGGGCCTTGCATGCCTGCACTCTGACATGCGGTGATTTGGTTGTTTGCAGCCTTTGAATCCTTGATGGACTGCTTTTGCGCTGCTCTTACCAGTAGCCGAGGTGCGGAACTGTAATCCACATGTCCCATAGCATCAGTCCACAGCTCACCCACAACATAGAGGAACAAAGGCCGACAGTGAGCAGCTCCACATTAATGGAGGCGGAGCACTGAGTCTTGATGACCTCCAATGGCAGGCAACGTGTTCCTGTAGTATCCTTTTCTTGCAGCAGGTACAATGCTTGAATTACAGCCGAAGCTCACAAGTTGACAAGCTGCCTTCCGAAAGGACAGATTGGGAAATAAAGGCTGCTGAATGTGCGCATGAGAATGGTTTCAGAGTTTCAGGGTATGCTACTTTTCACTGCCTGCACGGCTGTCTTCCTTGTCTTGCGGCGCATGACAAATCAGATTGTGAGATATCGTGAGGGCAAACAAAGGCCTGGGATTCAGGTTTAGTTGGGTTCGGATGGATCGTGCTTTAGGGTCTCGCGTGTGAGAATGTGGGGCTCTTCAGCACGACATGCAGCCAGAAGCGATGCTCGCACGTACGTACAGGAGGCAAGCACGAGCCATGTCCACGTGCCAGCGTTCCAAGGAATCAGAGGTCATTCTCTGCATGCCGTTGCAATGCGAACAACCTGCACCAAAGACCCCAAGGTTCGACATTTAGGTCGGTTCGGTCCTCCATGCACACTTCCTCCTGTCCCTGACTCTCACCCATCCTTTCTCAACTGACTTCCGCATCTCCTGCATCGTGCTTTTGACCGATTGCAAGCTGCCTGCAGCATGCTGCACAGTGCTTGCAGGCTGGGACACTTCCCGTCCCGCCGCTCTCATTCGCGCTCAGACTCGTTGCAACGGTCTGGTGAAAAGCATGACGCGCCAAGCCTTGCCCCTGTTGTCATCAATCCATATGACATGAGTTTTGCTCGTAGCTGAACTTATAACTTGTAACGCGCTCTAGCTTGTGGGACGATGATACATTCGTTGATCGCATAACTAGGCACATTCGTTGATCGCATAACTAGGCTACTACATTCGCTCCGCACATCTTTTGCCTTTCGCCGCGCACAGCTTCGATTCACGTAGAACGAAGCTGTAAAGACCCACAGGAAGTGCTTTGGTAACACATCCGGGCTGGCATCCTGCCGGCAACCCCGGGTCTACACCCTGGGTTCGGGTACTGACTAGAACCTACCACGGTTCAGATTCCCAATGCACTTTTCCCCAAAGCTCCCAGTATATCCATGTCGCAAGAGAAAACAAAGCGACATGGATGAGGTTAGCCAAACGTTCGACGTCGGGAAAACCAGACCTGCTCCGAATCAGGGCCATCAAAGCCGATGCGTTGTCGATAAACCAAACACCTCGACGGCCCCGGAATGTAGCGGCTCGAGTGGACAGCGCAAAGAGCACCATAGACAGCTCGAGTCGGGCAATCTTGGTGTCTCCTGGCAAGAAAGCTTCGTATGTATCCTCGGTGATTTCCGCCACAAACGTCTCGCGTTGGGGCAGCGAACCTCGCCAAACCAGAAGGAAGCCTCCCGTGCCTTGTCTCGGTATGTCTTCGGCTGCGTCACTCGCAGCCACAAACAAACCGAGGACATGATGACGGCAAGCCCTCAACTTCTCGGCGAGGCTTCAAGCAGAGTACAGCTCGAACTGTTTCAAAGCCGGCCCGAACTGCCTGGGTCAACTCCCGGCTTGTCTCATGCTGTCTCTCCTTCAAGGAATGGAGGCCGCCGGTTCCGATACGACCATAGACGCCCTGCTCGAGGAAGTCGAGCATACCATAGAGCTTGGACGCCGCACCGGAAGGGAGGGAGCCTTCAGCTTCGGTTTGGGACAAAAGAGCCTCCACCTTGTCCTGGAGCCGAGCTCGAACTCAAAACCGAACGGCTCTCCTCTGTTGGAGCGAGTGAAAGTCTCAGTCGAGCCCCAAGAACGTGCCAAAGGTGGCCATCGCCTGCCGAAAGGGGGACCCACCATACGATTGACCTCACAAAAAGCTTGCTGACCCGAGGCCTTAGCGGAACTCAAACCTGTCACGTGAGCGTCGTCAAAGTACATGGAAACCATCGAGCAGAGGTAAGACGGCGCCCAACAGCCTCCGCGGAGCTGCTAAGTCTGTTGTCAGGACCAGCTTGTTGGCGTCAGAACTAAGCTCGCTCTGGCCCCCATAGTCAGCGTTGTCGATGACCCTCTGCTTACCAGAAGACTGCCCTTGACCTGCCGTATCAACTCAGCCCAGCTCAACGGCTTTGTGCAAAAGCCCGATACATGATCCTTCCTGGACTGCTCCAGCAGAAAGATATCACGCGGTCCTGGTTTCAAAATAGCCTGGATTGCGCGGTTGTGTAGGGGACTCTCCCTAAAGGGTTGTTGTGGGTAAACTCCGCACCGCGCTGGCATGCCCCTCAACAGGTGGTCGGGTAGACTAACATCAGGCCACGAGAGAAGAACTACAAAAAGTCCCACCAATCCCAAATCCCTTTGGGCGGTGACCACTATTGACAAGATCCTCGATGAAAGGAAGAGGAAAATCTGCACCCCTCGTGAAGTGGACAAGAAGCTGCAGTGCAGCCTCGCCCGCCTGCACGTCAACATTGGACACGCCCCGAGAGCCGAACTCATTCGGCTGATGGCCGCCTTGGGGAATCTAACGATTTCTGTGTGGTATACGGTATGAAACTCGACACTGCTCCAGGTATGCCCGTGAGTGCAGTCAACATGGTGAGCCATGGCTGCAATTCGTGGCCACGCTCAGGCTGTTTGCTGGCGCGCCCGGTTGTCTGCTGGTGCCAAACCAGCCCTGCCAGTACATCACCTTCACATAGCGCTTCTGTCTCGCAAACCAGAGTTTTGCCCAAAAGACTCGGGAAGTATTCTCACAAGTCCCGAACAACGTGCTCGACATAAAGACCGACCCATTCAGAAGGTGTCCGGTGTGCAATTGTGGCCCGGCACGAACGGGGACGCCCACTGTGTGACAGGCAACCGATGCGTATGGTCCCGGCCCATGTACACGCAATCCGGAGGCAGCTTCCTATCGACAACAACCAGATCAGAAACTCTTTGCCTTGCAGGCACAAGTTCCTTCTTCGGTTGAGCAGGCGGGCGCAGACCCAAGAAGATAGCTGTGGGCTCCAACAGCCAATCGGCAAGGGTCTGGGCTTCAAAGTCTTCCCTTCGCCATGCTAGTTTTACCAGGGGCCGCCGATGGACCTTGGCAGCTCTAACCTGCCGAGTAGCCCACCAGCTAAGGGACACACTCACTGCGACGGCGAAGCACGCCGTGGGTTCAGCTTCTTCACGGTGCAAAGCTTGCAGGTCGCGCATCCCATCAATGTTCCACTCATCGGAAGAGCGGGTATGATGGCACCGAGCCGGGGGCCAGGCCACAATCTCACTGACATTGTGCAAGCTGTATTTGGGTCTGCCAACGTGCCCCCATCAAAACACAAAGTCATAGGGCGTGTGGGACCAAGGCTCCCCTCCCACGAGGGGAAGTTTGGCAAGGTCCTGACGCCGTGCCGGTTGCACTCAAAACAGGCGCAGGCAGCGAAGCTAGAGGGTCAACACCCAGGTACGGTAGACTCCGCTAGCCAACGCACGCAGTCCGCTAAGCGGCTAAGCTTGCTGCCTCGGCAGATGGAAAGCCTTAGCGGGCAGAGGGCTAATTCGGCTTGGCAATGCCAGTTAAGGGGTCCGCTGGACGCCAGATGGGGGCTCATCTTCCCCAAGCACAGCTGGGCCTAGGCCCCGTCAAGCTGACTTAGGCTTGAGCTTGGCACAACCATGAGCCCCATTGGGACATGGCACGGAGTTTTTACAAGTGCCCTTCTGAAAGTCACCACGCAGCTTGCCGGCTTGCCCGCAATTGTAGGTCCTGAGACAAACTGTGAGACAGCACGGCTATCATCCATAGTCGAGCCCTTTTGCTTGGCGGGCGAACCAGAGACCCAGGAAATAGCACGACAATGTGCAATCAGGGGCGCTTCGACGAAGTCGCAAGTGTTGGACCCGAGGGCATTTTCTCTCGCACTGGGTCAGCCCCCGGGTTCGGCTGAGTGCCAGGGCATAGGCAATCATCAGCGTGTAGTGTACAGCTTCTGCAAGTACGTATCGACATCTCTGAACATCACCTCGTCCGTCTCTGGCTCGTCAGTGTACAGCCCATCGGCTAAGCGCCTCTTCTTCTGGGACGTCCCCAACTGGAACTGCAACGAGCGAGCCTTCCAAATGTCGAAAATGCAGAGCATACGCTTCGAGAGCTCCCGGCTGATCCTGGCCGGGAACCGGGTACTGCATCCAGAAACTCTCTTTCAAGCCGCGGAGTTCGGAGTCGGCCGACTCCTCATCGTCAAACAAGAACCTGATTTCCTCCAAATGAGTGATGCCCGTTTTGATGATTTCGCCGATGATCTTTCGCTCCAACGAGAAGTTCATTTGCAACGATTTGAGGCTCGATGCAATGTCATGCTCTCCTCTTGGAACAAGCGAGGCAGAAGCCATCCCTCTCGGGGTCCGACCCCTCCTAAATTTACTCCTCGGGCTAGGCAAATGCAGGGGTGGACCTTCCTGAGAGCTGGGTTCTGCACTTCTTGGTTGCCCCCGAAGTGGAGCCAGCCTTTGGGCAGACAGACAGGACTGAGAGCAAGACCGTGGAGAAATTGGAAGGGTAGGAGGGAATGGCTGAGCTTACACACTGCACTCGCTGGAAGCGCAGCATCAGCATCCCTCGCAGGAACTACACACAGCGCTAACACTCGCATTTCTCACTCTCTCTCGGCCATGATCAGGTCAACTGAGCCCTCGCACCTTCACCTCGACAGTCGCGAAGAAGGAGACCACTCTGCAAGCAGAAGCAAGGTGGGGCGCGTTGCCGCCTAGCGAACCCTCAGCCGACTACCAGCAAGCTGGAGGCCGTCGGGTGGGAGCGACCCATCTGTGAAGGCTGCTTTAGCAGGGCCTCAGCCAAGTATTTTCCGGCAGAGGCACCTCGAGAAAGTCGAGTTCGTGATCATGCGATTGCCGGTGTCGATCGCGACCAGCAATAAGTGTTTTGCAGGTGCCGGATAAGAGCCTGCCGAAGCTCGATGTACCCACCCGGTGGGCTTCACTGGAGTAGACGGCCGCTTCATGTTCCGGGCTACCTCCGACATCCAAGTGCCCATGGACTTGTCTTGTTGTACGACCTGTCAATTTAATTTCCGTCTGTCTGACTCGCAGGATGACTTGGCTCGCCTCTTGCGCAGTCTCCCCTGCCTGCAAGCGCTGCCCGAGTCGCGATGGCATCCGTTGCGGCCCTGTCTCGCCGCGTCGCCATTCAGGAGGAGCGCCCGCGCTACCTTCCCAAAGGTCCGGGACCAGTCGCTCTCTCTCTGCAGCATCTGTCAGAGACGTTGAAGATGACGTGTCTGCTGCAGAGTGAGATTCCTTGACGATGTTCAATTGGACTGTCCACACACGTGACCTGGAGGCAGACCTTGGGAAACTGGGACGGGTAGCCTCCCGGCGCAGCCCAGACAGGAAGAGCTCACCCCGCGCTGGTGATGGCCAGAAGAAAAAAGCGGTGCTGCGCCGGGCGCGCTTGCCTGCAAGATTGTCAAAGACAGCCTGCGTGCCGCCGTGGAGTCTCTCTTGGAGGCGGCGTTTCGGCTTCTTGGACTGCAGTCGTGCTGGGGTGGGCCAACCAGCTCAGCCTTGGTTTTGGGCACGCCCCCTCGACCTGTGATGCTCGAGCCTGGCGCCTGTCGAACTCTCGCCCCTTTCCTCGCCACACTTCCGGCTTTTTTCCTGTGCCACTTCCGCGTGGTACTGGGCAACTCCTCACGCTCAGCAGGGATCTGGAACGAGGCTGGAAGGAAATAACCCCATTCCCCGGAGCTCATCTTCATGACTTCATGGCCGCCTGTCTCCTCGCAGTCCTCGGCCGATAGGGATCTACCCCCTTCTCTGCGCTGGGCGAAGGCGGGGCAAAGGAGACCGGGCCCTCGACTTCGGAGCTGTAGTCTTCCGCTGAGGATGCCTTCCCCTTCTGTTTGGCACTCAGCAGGACAGGATCCACCAAAGTTTTGCGAGTGAGCCCCACTGCCAGGCGCATGGTGAATTTCCGAGGGGGGTGGCTACTGAAAGCTGCTCCTTTGCAAAGCCTCTCAAGATCAGCTTTCACGCAAAGGCTGGATGCCATCGTCTCATGCTCCCGCCACTTCTTGTGGAGAAATGGAGTCCCAAGAAGGATAGCTGCGAAGCTCCCCCATGTAGGACCAGACGAGGTGCTTCACACGAACTGGCTCCTTGTACACCGGCATCACACTCCGCTGGCCGGCCAGCTTATCCTGCCCATCACCCAAGGCAGAAAGCTCATCGGGAGAGAGCTGGATGAGCATGCCAATGTATGGGCCCATCCTTCTCCAGCTGTAGGAGGTCAACTCCTCCGCTTTGTCCAGTGTCTTCGCAAAACGCCTGAACCGCGAGGGTCGACTCCCTCAGAGACCATGGGAACCCCTTACTATCGAAGCAAAGGCCGCATGTGGACTGCCTGGCCGCTGGCAAAGCTTTGCGCCATGGATCCGTCCAATCGAGGTAAAGGCCGAAAGGATAGCGCAGGCAAGCTGAGGCTTGGATCCATTGCCCCAACAACGCTGTCCACCTAGCGTCCCCGACCTGGCACTGAGGCTCGATGGTGTTCTCGAACTGGGCGACCATGGGCGGACCTGCCTTTCATCACGGAATCACGCGGCCAGTTTTCTCTGCCACCGGCACCCTCCAGTCGCCTTAAAGCTTCGAGGTCAACTCGGTCAACAGCCTCAAGTCCGTCGCGACCTCGGGCGACCGGAAAGTGCTGGAGCTCCCGAAGCGTAAGCACTGCTCGCTTGACGGTGGCCAGCTCGGCAGCTGAGCAGAGTTTGCCCACCAGCCTCCGCACAGAGGCTTCCCGCTCAGCTTGATGGCCAGCGCTCAGCTCTCCCGCCGGCCGCTGGACCTTCGCATCCACCCAAAGGTCGGCCATCTCCTCGATAAGTTCGCCCTGGACTCCCTCGACGGCCTTGGGTTGGTGGGCGTGAAGGGCTGGCACCTTTGGCACAGCACGTCTCCGCGCAAGTGGTCTCGCGCCTGTGCTCGATTGGCAATTGGCTGCCAGCACGCACCGGCATTCCCCTTGCTGCCAGTTCCTCTTTGCGAGACCCGTTCCACCAAAACATAGACGTGAGCCAGCAGAATGTCAGGCCGCACCAAGCCCCAGGGGCCTCATCCTCTGTGAGATACTGGGTGCACTGCTCCACCCGAGCCCAAGCTGCGATCGGAGGTGTGCCCCTTTCCAGCAAGGACACTGGAATCCGCCTCTACGGGCCCGGCATGGCATACAGTGAAGGTCGACGCAGGCACCGATAGGTGTGGGGAGGCAACTCCCTATTACACTCGGGTAGACGTTCGAAGACCGGGGGAACATGCTGAATCTCCAGACCCCGACTCCAATGCACCAAGCACTCGACCCGGCGGCCAGCCTCGTGGAGTTCGCGGTGTCTCACCCTCCAATCCAGATAAAACGGCGTAGCCAATGTAGTTCTGAAGGTATGCTACCCATACCCTTCGGACAGATTAGGCTCATATGCCATAGTAAGCGGGCAACTCCGCACAGGTATAACTCCTGAGGCTAATCAAAAGAATCTGCCTTTTTGGCTCAACTGCCAAGGCTTGACCCAAAAGGCAGGATGGACGATAACAAATGATTCATGTGCACCCAAGCCTGCCAAACTCGACGCATGACATATGTACTCCGCTTCGATCTCTGTAGGTGCTCCGCCGTGTCAAGGAAGCTCATGTCAGAATATGTCAGAATGACCGTTTGCGCTATCAGGCCCGTGTCCACCAAGCCAACTTGTCGGTCGTTCTTTTGACGATTGTGCAACAAACAGTTGCAAGCCGACAGCCAAGCTTGCAGGTGGGCCGCTTCGGACATCCAGGTCAAGGGCACTGGTCAACAGTGATGTCTTTATGCATCTTGCTTAGAAAGCGACACAAACCCACCATGATTCGCCGGCGCTGCACCCAGATAGCACAACTTGCAACTAGCCGAAGGCGTCGATCGCATCGTTGGCTGACAAAGAACCGCACAAGGGACATTCCGACTCCACAGCTTAACTACCCACCCAGCCACGACTCGGAATCAGCATCTGTGGTTTTATAGCAATTTGAACACATTCCACACACACGGTGCCTTCGGCAGGGTGGAGCATAAAGATGTAGCGCTCACGATGCTGGACAGGGACGACATGAGGCCACTGAAGAAGAGTGCGTTCCCCCGGGTCAAGGAGCAGATCGCAACGCCTAAGCAAGATTGCATGATGCGTACCACCCACCATGTAAGACTACAGCTACTGCATTCGAAGCCACACTGAAGGCAGACAATGACTCCCACGGCGCGAAAGTACAGATGCAGTTGTTGCAAGGCCTGTGGGGATCAGATGCACGGACAGGACTGTCAGCCGCTCATGGCAGCTGATTACATCTCATAACCAGCCCAGCCTTGTTGTCGCGGCAGTTTCGCTGGAATCCCCAGACGTAATAAATACCAAGAACTGCACCAGCAATATTGGAATAGAACAGCCTCAGAGTGCCACTGACCATCAAGCTAGATCGCAAGCTGTCCGCCATGCAAAAGACAGAAACAAATGAACGAGAGTAAACATCGTAAACCTTGCACATTGCTCCTGGCGACACCAGAAAGCCACTTTTCTGCGTAACGAAATACGCGAATGTGCCGTAAAAACACCTTGGATCCAGCCCAGCAGACGTGCAATCACTTCCAGTGACCGCGCATGACTGAGATCCATGCCACTGCCAGCCTGCGTACAGAATAGACATAAACGGAGCGGAATCCGCTTCACCTGTGTCACCCAGTTTCTGAAACTGCTGTACCTGGCGCGAGTCAAAGGGTGAAGAAGACCAGGCGGCATCAGACGGCGGCCTGTGGAAGCGGCGACACGTAGCAAAGCATGTTGCCTTAGGGGTCAGCATCAACCAGCTTCCAAGACTTGAGCCGCAGGCGAGAGGATGTCAGCAGGAAAAGTCCAAATTGACTAAGATGGCTCACGGGGAGACGAGACATGACGCTCCAAATGCTGTTTTGCAAAGCAGTCAAGCTTGAGGCTTCTCCTGGTGATGCAAAATGATGCAAAAGAACAGCAGGAAGACATGCGCACCATCATGTCCAGGTCGTCAGTTACTTGTAGCATCTTGTAACGCATGTCATTGCCAACACGAGTAAGCCTTTCTCCAAGAATAGCTGAGCCGCTGAGCATGCACAGCGCTTTCACAATCAAGGCCAGGCTTAATGTCGCCGCGAATCGCGCCTGTGGTGACAAGTCGGACTTCAAGGCCTTGGTGGATGTTGCCGTGATGAATCCACTGCACCACGCCTGGACAGCAAGTGCAATTGCACTTCCTTGGGCATTTGCCACGGAAGACGCCTGCCTCACAGAACCATGAGACATCCAGAGTTCGTGTAAGCACGCTGTTGCGTAAGCCGGAAGCACGACATGAAGACTGCTAGCAGTGCAGGGCCTATCCGAGGTCTGCGGCAGGGAAGGTGCTGTTGGGGTGGATGGCAGCTGCACCTGGGTCGCACGACATCAAATGTATCAAACTCCTGCTACCTGATGCAAGAGTTCTCGCCTCTGGTTCTACAGGACTAGACTAGAGGTCGTATCAATTCGCAAAGCTGCATTGTACATATGGGATCAAAGGGGAATGCAATGGCCTGCCCAGGTATCGGGTGTCAGGGCACCATCAATGGACAGTCAGGCATGGTGTATTGCAGGCTAAAGTCTTGCATGACTAGCAGACAGCTCTTCCTTCAATGAATACAACAATTACACTTGGGGGTGTGGAGGGTGATGAACAGGTCTCTGGAACTGGACTGCCCCTGCACAAATGTTTGAGGGCATGTAAGACCTTCATAGACACTCCATGGAAGGATTCTCTGAAATCTGCTCCTGGGGCACTTTGGGCCCAATTACACGGATTTCACACCTGCAGACAGCCAGCGCTGTTCTGACTTGGCACTGACTTGGACATCCAATTCGAGGGGTCTTCTTGTTGCGTGCTGTCTTTGGCTGTCACCTCCCGGTTGAAGTTACAGTTGATGAAGACAACATGGATCGTGGCTTGCTTTCGAAAATTGAGGTCACAGGTTGTATGACGTGTAGGTCGCGGTCGCTCAGCCCCAGCCTGCCTTCCCACCGCACACGAATGCATCCAAACTCGCTAGAAGAACCTGGAATATCCTGGAAATCTGGAAGCAATGCAGCACAAGAGAGACTGGGGCCTGGACTGCTGCCGAAGCTTGCCTGACAAAGACTAGACATCACAAGTCACTCCTTCCGAACACAGCGCACGTGCAAATCAATGCAAGGTCACACCAAGCATTGGGGCTGGCCTGTCCGACGTCTGCGGCAGAAAAGAGGCAGTGGTAGAAGGCACCTGCCGAAAGCTTGGCTGGCATGGGGTGCAACGATTTTGAATGCCATGCCGTGGCTGGCAAGCGTAAATTTTCAAATCATCTGCTTCTTCCGCTCATTTCGAAAAAGTTCCTCAGCAGTTGCCAACACACAACAGAGCACAAAAGAGATCGGAATCGGCTGGACAGGGCCTCCATGCCTGGAGAAGCTTGCCTCACAAAGCAATTAGAAGACTGTACGCATCAATCAACTGATAAAGCCCAACCCAAGGCACAAACTGCAAAACTCAAAATGAGACAAGTGGCGCCGCCACATCTGGAACCGGCGAACGGGGAGGCACACCAAAGGCAGACGGCACCTGCTGAAAGTTTGCCCCACAAGTTTTTGCATTCATTCGTTGCGAAACGGGGTCACGGTGTTGGGTTCACGGGAGCTTCTGCCGCCAATCCAGGACCACCAAAACCAAACACTCCAATGGCGGTATGTAATGGTATATACGTTCTTCCACCAAGTGCAGTTCTGGCATCTTTTGGGACAACGTCGTCACGCAAGACAGGGCAAAAGACACCTTGGCAACCACAGTCATGGCACGCTGTGGTTTAAGTTTGGGCTTTGGGAAACTGTCCATCGCAACATTTTCCAAAGAGAGCTCGGATCATCTCGGACCAGAAAGGGGTGTCATTTGTACATGCGCAGCATGTTTCTGTGCTGTCTCTCTGCACTCTGTCAGCATCAGCCAATTGCGGAGAAGCAGACGGGCTCTGCCTGAACCGCAGTAGACTGTGGCCTCACCAAACAGCATGCCACATGCTTTACAAAGAGCGAGCCACAGGTGAGAAGACGTCGCACAAAAGCCAATCTACGCGGGCCTGTTAGATGTCGGCAAGGTTGGCACAGCCGACGCAGACGGCATCTGTCAAAAGCTTGGCAAAATGAAACTGTGACTGACTTTGGAAACATGGGCTGCCCAGATCTGAAACTGCATCATGGTTTTTGGGAGCTCGGGAGACAAAACCCATATAGATGCACTTGTGCAGCACCTCATGCGTCGGTGCTTCAAGAAGCAAGGCGTGTGCTCACGTTTCGCTTCAAGATGGCTAGCAACAGCAATCACATCAACAGACTCGGGCAAAATGTCATGAATCTCACAACACGCAACTTTCCCGAACAGTCGAAACCTTCAGCACTCTCGGCATTGTGCTACACTCTCGCAATTTAGGGCACGTGTTTCCTGTCCAAAAGCATACGCTACCATGGGCATGGACGTGGTGGACTCCATCTGATTCGTTCTTGTGCCCGCTGTCCGCTGTCCGGCAAAGTGACAACAGCCCCGGCTTCTGAAGAGCAGAGCAGGCATTGGAAGCCCGGAAAGTGCACATGTCAAGTGGAGAATGCCGGACCACACCGACACCAGGAGGGAACGAGGGGTGTTTTGCAGGGTGGCAAAAAGTCAGCCCGGCGCTGAGCGCCGCGGCGACTCTCATTTTTAAGACAATCAGACAATCATGCAGCGAAATTCAGTTGTTTCAGTCTATCTTCGCCCTCCGCTCATTGCCAAAACTCTATCCATGTTCACCTCCAGCGGCATAATTGTGAATTGAGCAGGTCGAAGGGATATGGCCTGGACTGCAGGAGAAGCTTGCCTGGCCGAGGAGCATGCCACATCCATCGGAGAACCCAGCACCCCAGCGCAAAGCGCATGTGCAGCCAGATGCAAAGTCATATCAAACTGAGACATCCTAAGTTACCATTGTACGCAGTCGGGGCTGACCCGTCAGACGTCTGCGGAAGGGCAGAGGCCGCGGGGGCAGATGGCACCTGCCAGAGCGCTTAACCACCAGGCTGAAGCACGTGGCGGAAATCACTACGTGTGCGTCGTGTCCAGCAAGAGGCTTCGGCTTGCTGAAGCGCGGAAGTGGTAGCATCAGGAGCTGGTAGCCTCACAGAGCTGCACTCGAATCTGGAGAGCCGAAATCCCCTGCTCTGGCCTGTGCGACTCCGAGGGTGTTCCCGCTGCCGGCGACTGCGCCTTTGATGACCGCGGCCAGGACCGCTCGGGGGGGCCGAGGCGGCCGAGTGCCACTTTCACTCAGTCGTGATGCGCCACGCCGAATACCCCCTCCCTTGGTCGGCGAGTCCCGCGCCTTGAATCGTTCTTTGTTGTTTCTAGGCCTAAAGGCGTCCTGCACAGGATCACCCCCATGCGGCTGTGCAACTCATTGCAAGACTTCTTGCTGGAAGCTGCCAGATGTTGTTGTGTGCTGAAATTCCCGCTGACTAGAATGCCCTCGACCCTCATGCCTTCACGCAAGCATCCTTGATGGCTTTCTTGTACTGTCCCGCGCTGCGTTTTCGTTGGGCATGGGAAGCTGGGTTCCCTTTGGATCTGGTCCTCGGGGGCTGAAGTGCCCCTGAGAGGACCTGAGCCCTCTGAGTCAGCTCACCTAGGAGCAGCACGGTCGTGCCAGAATGGAGCTTCACAGTTCGATCCGACAGTCTTTGCAACAGCTGCCGCAGACTACCAGCCCCCACTTCCAAATTCGAAGGTGAGGCGGTTTGTAACAAAGGTAAAATTCAGGCCTCGGGTCCTTTGTTCGCTCACGCGACTGGAAAACCAAATTTGCCCAGGTCTTGAGATGCTTCGGCGACCGTATCCTGTCGGTTCCAGCAATGCAGTCAGCCTCCTTGACAACCCGCCTGCAAGTGTACACCTCTGGCCATTGCTTCGAACACGGCAATTACCAGTACGAACGACCGGACGACCGGATGACCGGCAGCCTTCAGGGCACTGCCATCATCAAGGCTTCGCCTGGGCACATTCTGTCCCAGAAACGATTCCACAAGCTTGGCTTTACGAGACCTGGCGCCAGACGGCTGCTGGATGAATGTCAACTCAGCAGACACCTCACGCCGCAAGTTCGGGCATCTCGGGCATGCAATCATGTGTGCCTATCACCGTATCTGGAATCGCGATGGCCACTCAAAGTACGCCAGACACAAATTGATGATCGCATCCTGACAGAACTCTGCATCTGTGGACCCCGCAAAACGGTTGCAGGGCAGGATTGCTGCCAGCTCGGCCCGTTGGGAGCCTCTAATGCTGTCTGCGTACTGATGAATGTAGACATCCTCTGGCAGTGTCTCTGATGCACCAGTCTCAACAAGTTTCGATGTCTTAGGTGGCTGTTCGCTGCAGTACTGCTACTTCGCAGACCTGCGTCGAACTAACATAAGGGCTAGGCTGTCCAAAGCGCCAATAGCCGGCGAAGATAAAAGAAGAAGCCTTGAAAACGGCATGCGGCGTACAACGTGAGAGGGAGGCCACGAAAGGTGATGTGACTGATGTGACTGTGACATGAGGCCAGCGTTCGCACAATGCAAACCGTATGCGGACCGTTTGCCTGATGCATTGCACGTTTCAGCCACTTCTGTCATGTTGCCAGTACTCGTATCTGCTAGTTACTCTCTCGAGTACTTGGAAGCCTTCTGGAAGCGCATGACCGCGGTGCAATCGGCAATGCAAGATTTGGAAATGTTGTGCATGGAAATTCTCAGCCGCTCATGTCAAGCTGTATAGTGAGACTCCATCGCCTGAGGGTGGGGGAGTGTTGCCCGAAGCGGGAAGAGCAACCCAGAATCACCACAGCAATTTCGATTCGTGGTCGAGCCACAGCAACGGAAGATCTAGCTCGTGCTGGGGCTCTGGCAGGCTGGGAACTCTCATGTGGCACGGTGGGCCTTTTCGCCTGACCGAGCCGGCACAGCCAACTGAACGCCTAGAGCCGGATTTCACTCACGCCTGCCTTGCATTCGACCGGACGCCTCCTACTGCTGCCGAAGCCTTGGTGCGATGTTGTACCGCATGAACTCTCAAACTTCGCAGGCTTCGCTGATGAAGGCATCACTGCAGCTTGTGGATGTATGGAGGAGTCTTGCTTCAAAGGGATCACAACCAACCACATGTGAGTTGGATCCGCTGCAAACATGGACCACGCCCTACGAGCAGCACAAATTCAAATTTGGGTTTGTCTTGTCCAGCTTGAGAACTAGGCGCAACCACCATTCAGTTTTGACGTAGGAAGTCTTTAGGAAGTTCGTTTGCCGGCGTGCTCGTCTATCTGAGGTCATTGACACTTACCTTCCTATGCATGGCTAGAAGGCACTACGGACCGCAACTCGAGTCGCTGAGAACCCGTCCCAAAGGGCTCTTCGTTCACGAACCGACAGGGACGGCACTCGGCGCGCAGCCTGGTGTGGCCGTCACCCTTGAGCCAGAAATGGTAAAAACCAGCAGTGGCACGCGCGCACGCCCGCCCTCGCGCGCGAGTGTATGAGCCGAGTCGGCACCGGACGCACAACCTGATTCCATTTTATTGGTCGCATGCAGATGCAGATCGAATTGGTTGGTGGCTCATGTTTCTGAGCCTCCAACCAAGAGCACATGCTCTCTTTGAGGACGTGCTTTAAACTGCAGAATTGGTCTGGCCGTAGTTCGTACTGTGCCAGTACAAAGAGCTGGTGGTGCACGCTTGGCCGCTGCAGCCATCAGCCTGTGCGTATCTTACATTGGAACCATAGCGTCCCGCTTGTGGAGCCAGCTACGTGTGATGGCGTGAAACAGACAAAGGCGCAGCCCAATATTGCCAATCCTGAGTATTTGCACCTTTCATTCTGACAATCCATACCTGCAGAATGCTGACGAGCTGAAGTCCGTACCAGGTTCTGAATTCTAGAATAACCCCATCGAAACTCTGTCAAAATGGGCATGCATTCCAAAATGTGCACCCTAGCATTGGAGACGTTGATACATGTTCGATTCATCCCTGTGTTATTTCGGTTCGAATTTACTTTATATGTCCTTATCATTCATTCCCTATAGGGCGATCTAGATCCTGGAATTACGAGTTTGCCACATTTGTGCAGATACGCCGCAATATCCCACAATCCCGTTGGATTCTCTGTTTTTCTGATCAATGCTACGGAGCGTTGGCTACCCACAGCTCTCCGTAACTCGTTATGCCCTTATGCGATTGCTTGTCAACGCCCGTATATCCAGGCATTTAGGTGCCGCATTCCTTCATTCCACAAAATTCCGCTCCAAGCTCAACACATGCGCGTTACACATTTAGCAAAGGTTGCAATGTTTCTCCTGCGGGCCAACATAAACTGTCGTTTCTCAGGACAATATAGTTTTGACATCCATACACCGAGTGATGAAAGCCTTGCTCCTGCTATCAGCATGCCGCACCATCTCATAGAGCCGACTGCGAACCATAAGACCTCACCCGGCTTGTCCGAATTGTGAGAGAAGTAAGCAGTCTGTTGGCCTTACAATGAGATGATATCGCATGTTCTGTCGACCTCTCTATTCCCGTGCCCTGCAACATTTCGGTTTGTGTTCTTGTTAACACCTCTAAAACCATTGTCCCTGTCCAGATCATGTTTTTTCTTTTTGTACATATTTCTCATACATGCATGTGCCCTTGCAAACCCAACCTGCTAGAATGTTCAGACTGTTCTACTCCTTACAAACTTGCTGATGCCAGCAATAAACTACCATGTATCGTGAAGTTCAGTGGCGAAATGGGTTGAATTTGCTTGAAAAACACACCGTGCTACTCCTCGACGGAGTTTCCTAGTTCATCCCCTTGTAATTGGAAATAGCATTGCTAGAAGTTTTTCTATGTACCGAGGGAAGAAACCTACAGTTTGTCAGATGCGAAGTAATGCTTGCTCACCACAGCATCACTCCTCTGTTATTGTTATCTTGCTCCCTTGGAATAATGGTTGGGTGTAACATTGATAACATTGCGACTAGTGCGTCTATGTACCAAGTGATGAGACCCAACTAGGTTGTAAGCAGCAAAATAGGATCTCTCCTTGCAGTGTCAATTTTCTGTCTACTTGATATTCCAATACTGACAACACCTACTGACATTTAAGCACCTATTGGCTAAATATGTACATAGATAGCCCTTTCTCTTGTAAACCCCGTGTATCAGTACGAGAATGCAATCTGCCTGATGGCACAGCAGGCCCCAGTCAGAATGCTCTTTCAGAGACGGCCTGACATTGCACTGACTTCGAACACAAAGAGTCGACATGCTTGGCCTCGTGAATCTTCGGGTTCAGAAAGCTGCAACACCTGAGTCAGTTGATCGACGTCCAGGCATCATGCTGTCATGTAGGTCATACATCATCACCCGCGCAGATGCAAATTCAAGATGGTTTCTTCATCGGGCTCCTGCTGTAGCAACTCTGTCGCTGAAGGGCGAAATGCTGGGTCCTTACTGACAGCAAGGACAGAAGTTGCTTGTGAAGACAGCCACGTCTTGCTGTCATTCATCCATGCGATCATGCTATGGCAGCTTTAAGTGTGACCAACGCATTGGAAAAGACTTGAAACAACAGAGGATCTGCCTTCACGATAATCATGACAAAGTACGTACATCCACCAGCAGTGGGAGGATGTGGGCACATGGGCTAAGCCACAAGTACAAGGTTCTGCGCATTTTCGGTGAATCTGATGAAAATAAGCACTGAAGATCACTGAGGTCCCAGCCAGAACGAGAGCAGCGATCAGCAGCTGTCCCAGCTCCAGCTGCACGGGAGCAACACCAACGAAATCTTGTTTCGTACACTGCAAACGAAGCGGCAGTGGGACCTAAGGCACTCTCCGGTTCAAGTGCTTGTGATAGCTAAGCAAATGGGCATTTCCCACCTTCTCCGAACTCTGCCATCCTTGGCCGAGAACTTGTTCAAGCCCCCAGCGCTTCGGCCTGAGAAAACTATCCCGGGCAACATGTGCTCATGAAAGCTGATGGACGAGCCTGTGAAAAAAAACCCTTGGTCAGTCCGCGCGGTCGGTTCAGAATGTCAGATGCAATACCACGACTACTTTTACTACCACTTCTAGTACTATCATTTCTACTACTACTACTACTACTACTACTAATACTACTACCACCACCACAAAAACCACCACCACCACGACTAAACTACTACTACTGCTACTACTACTACTACTAC